GAACAACGAACAGGGAGGGAGCGGGCGGCCGGGCCTGCCGCTGGCACCGGCAAGGCAGCTCTGCCTTCAGCTGGTTTTCGGGATGCTGGCGTGCCTGCAGGCTGACGGCCCTGGGAGGCGGCTGTGAGGGCAGCGAGTGTTGTATAGACTGTGTACGTATGGATTCAGCCTTGAACAAGAACAGTATTTTGCTAAGGGGAAGGAAGAAACAGAACCCACCCATAAAGTCGGCCTCAGAGGTTACGCAAGGGTTTAGAAAGAGGAGCTCTTCCTGCCAGAGGGAAGAGGCTTCCTTTGAAAGGGGAGGGTGTTTAGACCTCAAAGGGGAGCTTGATACATGAAAACCAGCACCCCTTCTGCTCCTCCCCTTCCAAGGAAGCCCCTCCAGCCACCCAGACCCACCCATCACCCTTTGTTCACATTTGGGCAGCTGACAGCAACGCTCCCTTGTATGTGGCTTTCTGGGGGAGGAATTTAAGAAACCCCACTGGAGTTCATTAGTACGATTTTACAAACATAAACATAATATCCTCTCATCCCGCTCTGTGGTCTCTGAGGCAGCAGGCAGTGACAGGCACCCTCTGTACACTACGGATAGGAATTTGTTTTCGTCTGGGATGGACGAAGGGTGAGAGTGTCCATGGCAAGCACTGCCAGCGGAAACTTCCACCTCCTCAAAGCCTGGCAATCGACAGCAACGTGTGGCATCAGCACCAGCAGCATTTTCACCAGCGTAGGCCCTTGCAGCCCCCACCCTCCCGCTGCCACTGAGCACAAACAGCTCTGAACCAGCAGCCCTTTGTCCCCAGGCCCCGTGATGCCCAGACAGTGCCAGGAGGCAACCCTGCACCCACTCACACTGCTGTCCGACACCCAGCTCACTGCCCAAACCGGCAAAAAACTCCACCCCAAGGGAAGGGAAAACCCAGAAACCCAGCCATTAATCATTTTTAGTGACCCAAGAATGATGATAGTTTTAAGCAAACAAGCAAAAGCTAGTCATTTTTGCACAAAACTTTTTGGTTTTATATATTAAAAAAAAGCTGTTTTGACAGCAATCTTCATTAAGAAGGGCTGTCTGGCTATGTATCTGCATTTTCTGTGTAACTGCAAACTGCAGCCTCGGCGCTGCCCGCCACACACCAACAGTCAGCAAGACCCTTCCAACAGTTTCCCCACAGGGATCGTTCTCAAACAAGCAGACTGGGAGCAACCAAATATGCTGAAACCAGGTTAATCCTTTGGGCCAGAGCCTGCCCTGAAAGATTTGGCAGGCTGTTCGTACGACATCTCTCAGCTTTGGCAGAAAAGAATCTATTCTCGTGGAGAGCAAAGGCATGGCTTCTTGATTACTACCTCCTCATACAGCGAAATGTTCTGCATCTGTACAAAATATTCTTGTAATAAAATAAAAACTGAACTATTTACAAAGAGAAGCTCAAATGAATGAAGGCATATCGTCCACAATAGCAAGGTTATAGCAGCAGTTGCATGTCTTCAAAGATACCTGGCTTGATCTATGTTACATGCAGACATCAGCAGGGAGGCAGAAGAGATGAGTAAAAAATAATTACAAAAAAAATTCTAAAAACATCCATTCAGTGAAGTCCTTGACGTTGTCCTAGAAAGAGCCAGTCAAATTTTGCCTTTTGGCTTATAAAATATACAAGCATGGACCAGGAAGGGATGGGGCAGGAGCACGGAGCTGTGAACTCCCCACCGGCCTGCCCCCTGAGTCAAGTCATGCCAAGAGACGGCCAGGAGGTCCCCAGGTCCTGCTGGACACGGGGGAAGCAGGGAGACAGAGAGCCAGACAGATACCAGTGCTTCCCTGTCACTGCGCAGGGCTGTAGGCTCCCTCCACCTCCTTGTATCTGCTGAGTAGCAACAAACAGCCAGAGACAGCACCACCCGGCACCGTGGAGCTGATGAGTTGATGAACGTCACGACAGAGGAGTGGGAGATGGGGCTAAGGATCCACTAGCACATTTGCAGCAGGTGGCTCTGAGGCTGGTACAGGGAATGGCACATTTAAATACCAAAATCCGGTGAAATGTGAAGGTTCTTCTACGAACCTTCTCAGAGTAAAGGAAACTCAAGAGAAAAGCCTGCCATTGAGACTTTCCCTTTGTTCTGCATGCTGCTATTATATGTCACAGAAGCTGAAATGAAGTGATGGAATATAAATACCAGAACAGATCCCTAAGTAGACAACAAAATAAGTTAACATTTATAAAATTTAAAAAAATAAAATACATACAGCAAGAAATCTGCATATATTTAAATAATTTTCTTTGGAAACACACTTCGAGTCAAAATTCATTCCCAAATTGTCTTAATTCCACAGAAGCCTGTAGCCAAGATAGCGAAAAACACCCTTACCATTTTGGGTACAACCAGAAACTTTGTTCCCCCTCCCCGAGTCTACATCTTCACCCCCTTCCACCACACCTTCAGTGGTTTTGTGGAGGCTGTGGAGCGTGTAGAGTTTGACTGTGTTTAAACAAAATAGGCCTCGACCTAGTGGCTTTTAATTCCAATGTTCTTCTCTCCCTGCTTGAATAAGACTTAATATACACCCAAGAAGCGAAGGCTTGGCAGAGGGTCAAGACCCGGTGACTGGAGCAGACCCTGACTTCATTTTGTGGGGGTAACTGCACTCAAAACTCACCCTGAGATGCACCCAGGAGGCAATGCACACGTTACCTTCACTCCCTCCAGTTCCAACCCTGGCAAGAAAAGTCTCATGGTGTAATAGAACGAGGCCAAGACTAAAATTCCTCAATGGGCAGAAGGGCTATAAAGTTCCTCTTGGAAACCTACGAGAGATAGTCCACGGTCCAGCCATGTAACTTGGGACATGGTGGTCTTTTTCCCCTTTCTCTTGCACCAGATGCCTCGTGAGACTCTGGTCAAGTCATGCTGGGGTCTGCTCTTCAGTTCTCCATCTGAACAATGGGGACAAGAGCCCGTCCCTTTGTCAGTGAGAGTCATGTCTTCAGACAGATTAAAGATTGTCCAGTGTTCAGAGGCAGTAGTACAGAGGACACTTAGCACAGCATCCACTCAGTTTGGGAGAAGGGATTTCTGCAAGATTTGTTAGGGATTCCCTGTCCCTGGAAGTGTTGGGGTTGGCTTGAACGGGGCTTTGAGCAACCTGATCTAGTGAAAGACGTCCCTGTGCTGGACTAGATGATCTTCCAAAGTCCTTTCCAAATCACTCTGTGATTCTATGATTTGTTTTTCAGTACAAGCTGGAGCATGGAATTAAATCAGTGGCATTACATGGGCATGGCCCACCTTTGTGATGCTTTAAGGTAGTAAATTTGGCTGGGGAAAGCTATTAGAGAGAATTTAAAAAATAAAATAAATTCATCTTAGAGCAAAACCAAGGCATTGCCAACCAAACACAGACTCTGATCTCAACGCTAAATTTCCCCTTTCACAACAGCCAGGCTCCAGAGATGAGCTCCAGCTCCAAAGGCAAAGCTCTTCTCAGCAAGCTGGACCCTGCTGCTTAGGGGTGTTTTCTGAGCTGCATATTGTATTGGGACTGAGGAGCCCCTGCACACTCCCATGGCCCCTCCCAGGGCAGGGAGCAGACACCAGGCAATGCTCATGGATGAAGTCCAAGCTCCTGAAGATCCTCCTGTGCTTCCCCATCCCGGGGCAGAAACACTCTCCACCCGCCGACGCGAAACCAAAGTCTCATGGCCAAATCCTTTGCTAACAGCACATGGCCAGCACACAAAACTGATGCGGGGAGAGGAAAATAGGGCCCCACTTGTTGTCAGAGCTGGGCTTGCTTCTGCTAGCCAGCCCAGTGCAGCCACACAGCTGGTGATTTCTGAGGCGACGAGGTAGGACGGCTCTTTGGAGACACTCATTCTTTCCAAATCGTTCAAGTACTTGCACCAAATAGTTTTATGGCTAAACCTGGCTACCCCTCTGCTAAGCGTGGAGTCAGCAGAAACACCTGCTGGCACTACCTGCGTGCTGGCAAACGATCCAACAAGCAGCGACCACAAACCCGCCCAACATTTCACAGCAGCAGTGCGCTTTAAAGCATACGAGTACGCAGTTAAAAATGAGTTAAACACAACAAAAACTACGAAATCTGATACTCAAAAGAATGCAAGTCTTGCAGGTTCTTCCTTCACCAGGTGAAAGCCGGTGTTGGGTGAGAGCCTTTTTTTTGTGCGCACGCATGGGGTACAGCTCACATCGGGTGAAGGACAGAGCTGGTCTAAGCCTAACAGTAGCACTGGAAGATCTGCTCTGTGTACAATCAAGTAGAGTGTCTGTGGGGAGGTAACTCCTGGGGCTACTGAAAGAAAGACCTTTGTGAGGCCTGGTTTCATAGCAGCATTTAGGGTTAACTGGCACACAGAAGCAGTTTTCTCTCTAACACATTGGAAACAAAAAAAAAACACGGGAGAAGGAGGAAGGGAAGCACATAGCCCCAGATTAGCTGACAGTGTTGCCGGGAGTATGCCAGACGCGTGGCTTTATTTCCTTGTGGTCCCTTCTTACTAGGCAAACCGCAAGCTGCAGCAACAGGGCTGGGGAGTCCTCTGTTACGCTTCCTTATTCCCGCATTACTGATTAACTGGGCGTAGCCTGGTTCCGATTCCCCCACCACAAAGCTTCCGTCGCTGCAGCCAGTCCTCAGTTGCCCGTAAGCCGAACGCGCAGTCATTTACAGGTGCCTGAACCAGCGTCCGTGTTTCTCTCTGCATCTGCCGAGGCTGCGTAGGTGGCTTCCACGCTGTGCCATACTCCATAGGCAAAGTAGATGATAAAGCCTGTGGAAACGACAGGGAGAGGGCACTGTTAGCTCTGTAAGGAAACAGAAACCACTCCCAGCACTCACCGACACCTGCTGTCTTTACGCACTGCAAGGTGGGTGGAACTAGTTCATCGTTAAAGTCCCCTTCCAATGCAAAATATTCTATGATTCTAGCAGGCAGACACTACCTTCCTTAGAAAAAAAAGGCATTAACACACAGGTGTTAGTCTTTAAAGATGATCTATCCAGGCCCCAAACAGGGGGCTGATTATAAAATAAGCTGCTCCTGCTCTTCAGTGAGTTCACTGAAGTCCATTCTGCAGAGAGCTTTCTCTCCATTTCTGTGCCTACAGGCTCCATCTCTGTAAAATACATCTGCAACTGATGCTAATCTTACATCTTTTCGTTGTAACAAGTTCCTTGGACATTTCAGGCAGTTCAGCATTTTCCACACGGCTACTGGGAGCACCCTGAGATGCATCTCAGTGCCTTCAGCTCCAGAAGCACAAGCCCCACTACTTGGACTTGAGTTCAAGACCAGCCAACAAGACATGCTGCACAGTTTCTCATTGGTAAAAAGACTTATAAGATGGTTCATGGGATGTTGTTTGGTCCTCATAAAGGCTTCAGGACCCTTGAATTTAAAACAAGGCTCAAGACACACTGCCTAAATGGCTTCAGGTAAGTCACCAAGGTTGCACGAGGATGATGAGAGATCAGTATGCCTCCCTGGAATGCTAAAATAAATTTATGGTTAACAAAATCTATTAACTTTGAACACAGCATTTTTTTACTCTCTCCAACTCACCTATGAGCATCCAGACTGCAAACCGTATCCACGTGCCTATGTCTAGCTGCATCATGAGGTAAACATTCACGAAAATACTCACAACAGGAAGAAGGGGCAAAAGAGGTACCTGAAAAAGAAACAGGGGCAAGAAAGGGTTACATCTGTAGAGGTAAGAACATTGCACCCCTTGTAAATGGAAGCGAGGGCTGTTACCAACTCTTCAGCTGCCAGATCTGAGGAGAGGCAAGGTTAGACCAATATGGAGGAAATCAACCCACCACGTGAGAGGGATGTGAACAACATTGTTCATCTATTTTAAGAATAGTTGTTTTGTGGTCTGGAAGGAGGCAAGAGTCAAATTTTAGCAGCAATACTAAATACTTGTGGGGTGAAGGAGAGAAGAGTAAAACCAAAGACTGAATCATGACAGGCACCTACTCAAGACAAGGAGAAGAAGGTAAGGGGAATGTTAGAGCAGGGACCAGAGGAACTTTTTCCAGCAGGTACCAATGTAGTTAAGCAATATAGAGCAAATTATCCCAGAGGAGAAGAAAAACAGAAAATACTGTAACAGATAAGTGCAGCTGTACCAAGAATGCCCTCATGATCTGAGATACAAAAAAGAATGAGGCCAAAGAGATCAGATCAAAAGCCAAAATGAAAAAATCAGAATATGAAGAAATAGCACAGGCATGTAGAGACAAAATCAGAAAGGACAAATTATAATCATAAAAAAAGTCCGAATTTGACAAAATTAACAGGAAAGTGAACTTCACTCCTAAGGAAAAAGGAGATTTATAAAAAGAAACAGGCTGAAATGTTGTAGGCCTTTCTTGCTTTAAGCTTCACAAAAAAACCCCCACATTTTTGGTAAGCAGCTGTTTGCATCATTAGAGAAAGGGAATCAGAAAACAGAAGAAGAATATTTTTCTAATTTAGCCTTTCTCAAGCCAGCAGTGACAAATGAAATTTCCCTAGGCAGGTAATTTACATACTCAGAGATTGCAGAAGCGATCTCTGAACTATCAATAGGCATCCCTGAGAGCTCTTGGTGGACCTGTAAAGTCTCTAAAGACTGGAAAAGAGAGACAAATTACCAATTAAAAAGACACACAGAAAAACAAACGGGGACCAAACCACTCAGCCTTGGATTCCTAAAGACTTTGGAGAAAAATAACTTGACAGTCAGGTTGTAAATGTCTAAAGGACAACAAGGAGATAAGGAAGATTTAGCACTGACAGGTCTAATTATTTTCTTCCTTGGATTGGGTAGTGGCTGAGGAGGAAAAAAAAAGGGGGTAAAATATCCTGAGTGTAAAGCAAAGAGATCTCCTCAGAAACAAGTTTAGAAAATACAGTCTAGAGGACAGTTCCTGCTCCTGGACTTTTCTGTTTCCACTTCTGCTACCATAATCCGAAGACGAGCTGCAAACCCTACCTTGAGCAACTCTGGTTGGATTAAATAACTAAAATCTGAGAAGTTACTGAAAAACTGCAATGGAAGAGCAACCAAAACGAAGAGCAATTTGGAGGATGGGATTAGAATTCAAAACTAATTTAATAAATTGGGGAAATAGCCTGAAATCACTGTGATAAAACATGATATGCAGGATTATACTGGGGGTAAAAATAAACATCCCAGTGTTTGTTTAATATAGAAAGGATGGTGTGCTTGGACAGGGCATGAAAATGACTGTTCTGAAAATGAGTTCTTCATACTTAAGACTGCTAAAGAGAGAATGGTCATCCCTTAGTCTCCATGGGGACAAAGTAGGACAAGCAAATGCACTTTCTTAGAGCCTTTTAGCAAGTACTGCTTTTAGAGGTCTTTTCCAACCTTAATGATTTTATGATTCCATGTTTCTATGATTCTGCCATGCTGTACTTAGCAGCAAAGCACCTACACTGACATCTAAGGTTAGATCCCAAGAGGAAACCCCACTCAGAGGCTGAGCTCACCTCTGGTAGGTCACCTCTTTCCGCAGTGAGTGCAATCTATGAGAGGTTACGCACCCAGGCTAGCTGGAGAGCTCAAACCATCAGCTCGACTGGCAACGTGGCATGGAAAAATTCATATCACACTTATATTCTCTGCATGTCCACTTGGCCAAGTCCCCCCTTCTGATACAGGCCAACGTTCACTTCCTTCTCCAACCAAACAGCTCTTTTCTAGCCACACCTCCCAGGACACTCACCTTAAAGGAGAGCTTGGTTTTGCTTTCAGGCTGTTTCCATATAATGAAGCTGACCACAAGAACAAGGATGGCAGCAATAATCCATACAGTCTTTATCAGAATGCTTGGCTCAAGGGCAGTGAGGATACAGCCACCCACGATTAGGAAACCTGCGGACAGACACAAAAAGCTTACTGATGCTTTTTTTAGGAACAGGAAAAAAACAAACACAAAGCAAAACCACAAGCAGGAAAAGCAGAACCCGAGTGCTCAGCAAGCACAAGAGCAATACATGAAAAAGCTAACTGTAAGAGGCATGCCCTTCCCTCTCATACACCACCACACCCATCTGTGGACTTTTCAAGTCATGAATTTAATCCATAGATCTTTAGTTATTTTGGCCATTGCCAAAACTAATCAAAATTAGAGCCAGGATGCAAACTTTCCCACCACGGTGAGTAAAAGGATCTACCAGCTGGCTCACTGTCCAAGCCACACTGCCCGGTGCTTACCAATGATGAAGGTTGAGATGTTCACCACTGAGCCAGAGAATTTGGAAGGCTCCGAATTTGGGGGACACAGTATGGCTTTGAGGGAACATTTCTGCTCTTCCTCTGGCAGAAATCCAGCCTGTGACTCACTGGTGCTCACAGACTCATTGTTTTCTGTCTCCTCTGTTGTCCTAGCCATCTGGTATGCCAAATTAGGCTGCTCTGGCTGATACCTACAAAAAGGGAAACAAAACAAAAAGCCTGATGGTTTGGTGCAGGAAACTGTTAGTTTAAAAGCTGCTGCACCTCAGATCACTATAGCACCAGAACAGGCGCACATGTCTACACCCTTCTGTTTCGGAGGAAAATCTGAGCAATAACATTGTCCTAACACAAGCAAATATGGTCAGCTATTACCACCTACAGCTTGGTTGTAATGTCGGTGTTCTGAACGGAACAGCGCTCTTTCATAAACCCTGTCATCCGGGCCACCAAAACATGATCAAGTGACAGCAGTGAGCACCAGAGAAGGATGCAGCAGGGGGCAGACAGACGGTCATAACCAGGCTGCTGGGTTATCTGCGGCAGTTCAGCTCTTGTATTTTGGCACAAAAGTGGGTCAGCTAACAGCTCAGCAAGTATCACACCCCAGCAGCTGCTGCTCACACCCTGTGCTGACTTTCCCGGTGCCCCATCCTCCTCTATCTCCATCTCTTCTGCTAGTTTGTCTGCTGGCAGATAGGGAAGGAAGAGGTGAAAAAATAACGGTAATTTTTTGGTTGCATGTGTGGACGGCATTTCATTCAGCAGGGCCTTGACGCACAACTACATGAATCTATAAAAAAACCCACTCTTCCAGCCTCAGCTCCCTTTTACACGAGAGAAAAACCCTTTTACAAGGTTTCACCCTTGACTCTCAACCCCAACCCTGACTAAAGGAAAGGGCTGTCCTGAAAAACACCTTAAAATCGCTCCTGTCTGGGGATGTGTTTGCAATGAGGGCATTTGTGAAACACTGCAAACTGAGAAATGCAATGAAATTCTTGGCTCAGCCAAAGCAGGGTATTAGTGGTGGGACCTTACAGCTTTGGAAACAATTCAGCTGCTACTTTATTAGGCAGCCAACGGGGCAGCGAAATCACTGCCCAGGCTGCTAAAAGACAGGCTGTCAACTCTCCAAATCTATGATGGGGAAAATTCCACACGAGTACAGCAGCTTGCAAAAATACATTAAGAAGCTCTTTACCGCTGTATGGAGAAGAGGGGACTAGGAAATCACAGGAAAAGTAAGAAGGGCAAGGAAAATCCTCAAGGATTTTCCAGGCGCAGGATGGACAGCATAGCCACAGAGCAACAGTATTACAGCAGTGTCGGCCCTTTACCTGCTGCCAGACAGTTCTACATTCAGTGCATTTACTGTGAGCTTGTAAAAAGCCTCCACCTGACTTCAAGTCATTGAATACATAAAGGTATTTTTCACCAACACAATCTTCAAAGTACAGTTCTCACTGTACAGTAGAGGGCTGTTGTCTGTGAGGTGTCAAGCAATCAAGATACTGAATTTTCAGCTTAAGTTAGGGAAGCTACGAGAGCTCAGCACTTCTAAAAGACATGCACTAAGGCACTGATCCTGCAAACACATGACCAGCTTCTGTTGCTGCTGCTTGACTTTATCTCAAATCCCCTTTCAAAATTACTATAATCTGCAACTGTATCCCCAGTGGGAACACGAGTGATGACAAAGCAGACATCCAGGACTATCCATTTCTCATCCCCACCCACTGGCATATCCTGAGAGTATTCAGGGTTGGCTGCAGCAGGACCGAGAGTTAAGCAAGTTCAGAGGACCCCCTTGCAGATTCAGCTAGCACAATCCCCTGTTGGCTTAAAGAAACAAGTTCTTCACATGCTTATAGCTGGAGATGTTCAAGGTTTTACTGAGTCCATGGATACTATCAGAGCATCTGCTCGCTGTGCGGACTTATGTCAGCGTGGCACAGAGAGTTTGTTTCCACATTCATACCTCAGTACCAACACGCAGGCTGCCACCAAGGAGTAAGCCAGGAGGGTCCCGATGGACATGAGATCCACAAGATCTTTCAAGTCGAAGAGAAACGCCATAACAGCTGTAAGAGAAGGGGAGAGAAGGAGAAAAAAAATATCAGTAACACTGCAGAACATGCGCATCTCGGAAGCATTCACAGTGACGCAGCACACGTGTGACTTTTGCTTGGGACTTGGCAGGGGAGCTTGAGCTGTTCTGAAATGAGGAGAGGCAGGACTTAGTGCATGAATACTCCAAGCCTCACAGGCTGTCCCCACAGAGCCTCAAGAGCTGGAACTAGAGGAACTATTTTCTACAGTAAATGCCACCCTGTTTGTCTCATGCTGGTATGTTCACCCAGTTACCACCAATGAGCAGGTGTTTAAACCACAGCCTCACTGACAGAGTCACCAGGCACAGCTGCAGCATCCCTAAAGCTATAATTGTCTCCTGGAAGTAGCTAGAGGACAGGGAGGATGGGCAGAACGTCAACCACTCTGGTGTCTTGGCTCAGCTGGGGCAAAACAAGGCTTGCGCGTGCAACGGGACCAAACATTAAGGAGGGCATCTTGAGGCAGTGTGCCTTGTCATGGGGGTTTCCAGGAAAAGGTATGGACTGATACCTCTTAGAGATTACCCTGCTTACATACCCTCACCAGGCAACCCCTAGTTGTACAGAACTTTGTAGAAAGGCCTGCAGAAGGAGAAGCGAGTAAGTGGAGGACAGAAACCACAGTCAGACATCCAGGTCATGCCACTGGTCACATGAGAGCGCAGGGATCTCGGAGCTGAGCCTTGCTCAGCCTGCCCTCAAGGCTCCACCTCGAGCTCAATAACCAACCCAGCCTTCGAGCTCAGCTGGCAAGCGCTGTCCCTGTAGCTTATGTGTGTTTTGGTCCCAGACCACCCTGAGGAGATCTGAAGGAAAGGCAAAGCATGGGGGTTTTTTAGATTATCTGGCTCTTCTTCCCCTCTGTCAGGACTCAAGGACATCTGAAGAAGAAGGTGTGAGACAAGCAGCTGTGAGGAGGCTCTGTGAATCCCAGAGGCAGTAGATGAGCCCTTTCAAAGGAGCTCAGAGCCCCTGCAGCAGCCCAGCAGCAACACTACATGTTATTGTCCCAACACCTCACCCTACATTTGCAGCAGAAGGTAAAGAGGAAGCAGCAAGGCTCTCCTCTTTGCTAAGCACCACGAGGAAGGGAGCGGTTGCAAGAAGAAGGTAAGCTGCTTGCCCTTGCTGTCTGGGAGGTTTAATCCTCATATTCCTGGGGGCCAGGAGAGAGAAGGGGAGAACAGGAGGGCTGGCAGCTGTGACTGATTTACAGATGCCAGTGCCACAAGGGCCATCTGTCTGTCTTCAGCTGCTCTGGAGCTTTCCACCAAGCTGCAACCCAAAGGCAGTGCCGTATCTTGGCCAGGCCAACAGCCACCAGGATGCTGGGCCACCACTGGCTGCCACCCCGTAGTGAGTTAATTATTTTTAAGGCAGAGTGCTCCGGGAGCAGATGATGGCAGTTCTTGGAATGAGACCAGATGACAGTAATGAGCCCTTAGAAAGAGAGACAGGCACACGGCAAGGCCTTCATGCTCACCCACTCCTCCAGGGCATGCTCTGGAAACCCAGGGCACCCTCTGGGATGTCACGCTGTGTAATACATCCGATTATTAAACAGGTGAGAGTCAGGCAGACTCATCTGCCCCTAGGATGAGCTTATGTCTCCTTTCCACACATTTGTGCAAGTCTTTGGCTCTTACCCGCAATGGCCCCTGATGTCACTGTTGCAATTACTGGAGTTTTTCTCTTCTCGTCGACATGAGCCAAAAATTTAAAGAGAAGTCCATCTTCTGCCATAGCATAAATTATTCGAGGCATCGGAAACATGGAGCCAAGGAGACTAAGGACACAGAAGGGGAAAATAATCTACTTACTATTACCTCCTGCTGAGCACAGGCACACAGAAGAAAGCAAGTTTATGGCACTACAAATACACAACAGGTGGCTCTCAATCACTTCAGCTTCTCCTTCAAAGGCTCCCTCCCCACACCCATGTTACTGGCAACTGAGGTGCAGCTCCAAAAGTCTGGATACCTAACCTTAGCCATGGGGCATGGAAAGAGCCTTATTTTTTCAGATGGCAAAAGAGCTGTAATTTCTATGAGTTGCTCACTTAAGTGAGTATGTCTAAGCTGATTTGAAACAGCAGGCTTCCAGAGCAAGGGAGAAGATGACATATTCTGCCTCCAGACTGCCCTGCCTCTCATCCAGATAGCTTTCCTGCAAGCAACCCACAGGCAGACGGACCTGGACACGGGCAGCCAGATGCACCCTGCGCTGCCTGACACAACTCTGCTCTCCACCCACCAGGCCAGGGTGACTTGCAGGCAAACTGTGCTTGCACTGCGGAGTTGCCTCCATGACCGAGTCACTCAATCCAGATTTATAGTCCAGAGATGCACTTGCTTTTTTATATACAAAAGCAAGCTCTTTACTGATACTTCTCAAAAAGTGGTCCAAAAATATAGGATAAAAATGCAGCCTCTGCTACAAGACTCACAGTTACACCAGTGGTTTCTAGAACATGAAATCCAAGACAAGCTAAGAGGAGTGTTTCTGAAGTGATGCTGGTCATGTGCACATCTGAAATGTATTGCAGGGTGAAATTCCGGTCCTTTTGAAGTTAATAGCTTTGAATTTCATCACTGGTCTTGGCTGCCTTGACCCAGGGGAACACAGAGAAGGCCTGGCATGCACCATTTTTTAAAGGAGCTGTTGATACACGTTTGCCTTGAGAGATGCACAAAGGAAGAGCAGTGTCTCACCTTGTAGAAAGCGCACACAAGGAACCCACAGCTACTGCGTAATTAGCTCCATCCCAACCCACATACTTAAAGGCATTGGGTAAAGGGCTATTAGTATCCAGCTGGTAATAAGGCATCATGAGCGTCAGGGCAGCTGACACACCAAAATAAGCCACAAAGCAGATGAGCAGAGCTGCCACGATGCCAATAGGAATGGCTTTCTGAGGGTTTTTTACCTCTTCACCTAGAAGAAAGAAATGGAAATATCAGCTAAATGACAAGCCAGTATCTCATCTTTATCCCAGCGTGCTGGCTGGGGCTTTCAAAGGCTTGGTGGGCCATGAGGCACTGTTTGGCCTGCCACATTCACTTGGCATTCCACAGCCTGTTTGCTCCCGCTTCTGCTGTTACTCCTTCCAACAAACATTTATGGATCCCTTCTAAACTCAGGCACAGAAACAATCTGGATCAAAAATAGTCTTTTCCCCAAACCCGATTATTTTTACTTTGAATTACTCCTGCTGTCCCACTGATCGTGCAGCCCCAGGTTCAGTGACCACAAAGATGGGCCAAGAAATTATTGTGCAGTTGTAGAACAAATCCTTGGGTGACGATTTCAGTTAGGGTCTCCACCAGAACTACTATACAGTGAATTTGGCACCACAGGTGCCCAGTTCCTGGGAAAGGCAGCCTTTACACAGCATCTAGAAATCATACGGATCTTTGAAAATTCCTCTTAAAAAAAAAGGACTCCCTCTAGTTTTTATGGAAAGATTTCAACAACCAAATTGGGACGAATGTGTCAAAAAAATTAATACTCAAAATTCAGGCACTGATTAATTAAGAAATAGCTCTGAGCCTTCCCTGTCCTAGAAAGCTGCTCTCCTCTAAAAGGCATTTCAGGAGGATGAACCGATAAGCAGAGACTCATATACCTATGAGTGGAAGGCAGACAAATACTTTTCCCCTTCAAGGAGAGGCCCTAGGGCTGGCTGGAGTAACAGAGCCAGCACTTCTCAAACTCCTTGGAAGAAGAGGCAGCGTTGCTTTATCTGTCTTTGTGACAATCTCCTCCTTTCTCTGTTTCAGCTTTGAAGAAACGCAGTTCTTGTCAAATGTAAAATCAATGATAATTCTTTCTTTCTCCAGGGAACTGAGGTTCCTTTTAGCCAAGAGACATTCTATGATTCTATGAAATATGACAATGCTGATGGTTTCTCTATGAGAAGGAAATCTCTGAACTCTGGATATAAAAACTCCCCCTGATTTTGAGGCACAGCTTCAGGCTGCAGATGACTCCTCAGTGCCTCCCTCTCTCTCTGGCTCTTTAAATACTCCAAGGCAGTGGAGCTTCTGCAGCTGAGGGCACTGAAGAACCCTACTCCAGAGTAACCTGTTGATTAAAGCATCAACTGGAGTTAGAGTTACAAACTTCACCAGTCATACAGGCCATGTGAACCTGGGCCTTCCCCGTTTGCATAACTAGTAAAGCTAGACATGTTTTCTGTGGAAAACCTGGTTAGTGTCAGTAACCATCTATGAGATTGGGTCCTGCAGGCAAAGAAGAAAGGAGAAAGCTCATCTTGTGGGTTAAGTGGTCCAGCTGCTGCCACAGCAGCTAGAAGGCAACACTCAGGCACCCAGGACTTGGACATACTCAGCACTTCAACTATTAGGAGCAGCTGAGCCAAACAACATCTTGGGCTGAGGTTCAAAGGGATGATGAATGCAGTGCCCTGAATCACTCATTATCTGTGCTGTGTAACATTAATGAAAGCCAATCTACCAGCAAGCGGGTTCTTAGCAAGAATAAAGACATCTTCCCTCTTACCTGTAGTAGCAATACAGTCGAATCCCACGAAAGCATAAAAACATGTCGCTGCCCCTGAGAGGACTCCTTTCCATCCATAGGGCATAAACCCTCCAACACCATAAGGTAGTTCTGCCTGTGTTTGGCTAAAAAGGCATGGCTCGGGGTTAGAAATCATCCTTCCTAGGTGGGCGTAACAAAACTATTCATATAGCTCAGAACAAAATCCAAAGCTGGCGTTCGAAGGAACACATTCTCGCTTTCCCACGCTAGCGTGCAAACACTAGGCGAAATGCTAAGCCCTAAACCACTGTTGAGCTTTGGACTGGCCTGCAACAGCCTGGAGAACGTACATAATAAAAATGGTTCATAGCTTCTCCCCATGACCTGTTTTTTGGGATGGCTAAGACAGGAAGAAAATAGCGTGAATATTAAAGTTCCTCTCTTAGTGTTACTGCGTGTGTGTAGATACACATATTCATTTAAACACAGGTTCTGAAAAAGCACAATATGTAACTCTGAGAGCTGAAGACTGAGAAACATGCAGATCATCCACTTTCCACCTACGACAGACTCAGGTAGGTGAGCAGACATCAGAGACCAATGCAAGGTGTCATGACCGTCTAAAATCTGCCTGGTCCTCCCTTCTCAACTTCAAAATTTGCTGTGCCAAGCTCATATCCAAACTGTGCTTGTGACACCGAGGGAGGAGAGGAGCCTGCATCCCTGACACACCAAACCCTGTGCTGAGCCTTATCCAGAACTCATTGAAGTCAACAGACAGATACACATCGATCCCAGCGCGCCCTGGATCCATGTGCCGATGTCGAGCCATATATGACACACCTTTCAGTTCAAGTGACTTAGGTGACTTTTTCAGAGAAAAGCCTTTATAAAGATGAATTAAGGCAATTAAATCAAAGTAAATCCCAAATCTGCAAATCTTAGCAGGCTTAAGTATCTGAACACTCTCACAGAAGCTCTTGTTGAGACTGAGATGAAAACTGGCCTGTTATATGCAGAAATAGCACAACTCAAATGTGGATTACTCTGGAAATAATGGTAAAATAAAGTAAACCCCAGACAGATTTTACAAAAATAGTAAGTACTATGGGTCAAAGAGCTACAGTTACATTATGAAGCTATTGCACTAATTGCTCCTTGCATGGGAATAGCAGTAGGGAAGAAGGGGAGAACCTTCCCTATAGAAGCAATTTGTTCATAGCAGGCTGAATTTTGCAGAGAGGCTCAATAAGCAGCTTGTACACAAGCCAAACCTGACCCATGCAACATTTATGAATCTCCCCAGTTTTTGCCAAACTGTGCTTCCTTGAAGGCCAGCATAAAGCTTTTAGATAGCAACACAAATGTCCAAAAGAAGTACAGAGCTATACTTGGTCATGGCTTCATACAGGCTCCAGAGCCAGACTGCTGTAGCCTTGAGTAGGAGGTTGTCTAAAACAAGTCTTTTCTCTCAAGTTTGGATGCCGTATTGGTCACGAGTCTGGACACGGTCAGTTCTGCAGCAGGGCTCACGCTGACACAGCCTATCTCCTCTCAGTTTCAGCCTATCAGCACAGCCTGCAACGAACACCCACCAAACCCAACTTTGCCTCCAAGGCATTTTGGCAAAGGAGGAAGCCATCCCATTTATGGCTTTTCTAAAGCCCTTCACAACTCCCTCCCCCATAAACTTGACATGGTATTGCACAAATTTCAGAGCTGAGAAAATCCAACCTACTTGTCTCCATGAACGCTCTGGGTGCTGTTGTAAATGTCCTGTTCAGTCAGCTGCCAGTTTTTAACAGACCCTTTCACAAAGCCAGAGACCACAACGAAGCCAAGGACAAGGACGTTGATGCAGGTGAACACCTTGTTCACCAGGGCCGATTCCTTCACGCCAAAAATTAAAAGCCCTGCGCAAAAAAATGGCAGATAGGCAGTCAGTTACTTCGCCACCAGCAGCAGGCACTGAAGACTCGCAGAGGTAGCCTACCTCTCTTCACGCTGTGCTCTACCCAACTTATCACACCTCACTTCTCCACAAAGCTGAGTAGCTCAGGTAGGTCAGGATTAACTCACCCAAAAGAAGGACAAGGGCTCCAGTCCAGGCATCAAGACTGTGGGATGTGACACACCTTCCCACCCAGCATGCCCATTTGGCACGTGTCCCTGGTAAAGTGCTTTGCTAACACAGCTACGCTGTGTCCAGTGCTTTGAATGCCAGGTCTGGTCACCTCATGGTACTATGCTGTGCCACCTAGACACAGCCTCAGACTCCATCCAGAGACCTGGAGAAAGGACCCCAGGTGTTTTTTCACGAAGGAACATCATTTTAGCGGTCTTGGCCGCATGCAGAAATTATGAACAACGTGCAACTTTCCTTGGAAGTATGGGAAAATACAAGCAGGGACTGAATCCAGGAGGAGCTATTTCCAGGGCTGAAGACACAGGATGATGTGGCATCTTGAGAATCCTGCTCCCATTTAAAGCAGCATGAGCTTTACCAGTGAGTTCAGTAAGAGCAGAATTTCAGCCTTTGGTCTTACGAGCATGCATCAGAAGAGCACGTTTACAGGCTTTGGCAACCAGCATCTCTCCAAGGCATAGCTCAGCTTCTCAGAACAACAAAACCTGGTACCTTTTGTTTGCTCTTCAGGAACCTGTTTTCAAGAATCCAAACTTTTAACCTAAACCTAAGAAGGCGACTCAGAAATTAAAAAAACCTTCACATGGGTCTGAGGGCAAAGAGAAATACAGCAGTGTCCTTACTGCTACTCCAGGGCACTTCAAGGAGAGGGGACCAGGCTGCACTCACCTCTTCTTCTTTTAAAATAGGAAATAAGCTAAGAGAGCCACAGCAGGGAAGTGTTTGATAAAACTGCATAGCTGCCCAGGAAAACTTGTAAGGCACCTTGTAGAAATCTGAAGCTCATGATGGTGCAAGCAGAAATAAACTTCTAGTGCTTCTATCTGGGACTAAAGCTGCTCATTCAGCAGCTTTTTGTAGAAAAGAATGGTTTGTGTATTTTAATAAATTCCAGGGAATTTGCTCCATGCAGGCGAACAAAGCCATCAGTAATCTGTATATTTTTATGCCTCGGTAGCACTGAAACAAGGAGTCCTAAATTTTGTAACTTGTATCTGAGGTGAAAGACCAGATTCTCACTCGAAACTAGAGCAATTCCTATTATGTACAAATGAACACAGAGGAAAATCTTTTCTCCCATTCACATGCAGTTCGGAAAACAGAGGGCTGCTGTTGACTTCAGCAATCCTCGATACAGTCCTAGATCCAAATGCAAACCCAGATGCCAAAACATCCTTTGCTTATGTCCCTGTGAGCTCAGCCCATGCTGTGCCATCCTCATCAGAGTGGGCAGGATAACCTTGTCGGGGTGACTCTTGCAGCTTTTGCATTCTGGAAACCACAGAGAGGTACATGAGAAGCATAATTTTTTTAAATTTGCCTAAATTTGGCAATGCTTTTCGAGGTCCAGTTGGAGTAGAGATCAAAGTTCAGAAAGATTTTGATTTTACAAATTTTCAGAACTTTTCCAAATTCTCATCTAAACCTTGGCATATTTTTAGAAACAAAGAGGACCAGATCGTTTATCACACATTTATTTCTTTGGAGTCTTGCATTCACTGCTGCAAAATGAAGCCCATATATATTTAAAAAACCCCAAATAGTAGTAAATGAGGTTGTTACTGAGTCCCATTCTCTTCCTCACTTTCCTGGCTCCAAGGACTGAAAACTGGCAGATTATCAAAGGGGGAATGAGGCTGATAGAGCAACAGAACGAAACTCTTGTATAATAGGATTTGTGGAGGGAAGGATTAAACTTCCATACCTGATTCAGGATAACAAGTCATCTTTTCTTTTCTTCCTTATATAAAATTTGACTGAAGGTTTTAAAAGTTGCTCAAAAAATACTGAGAACGTTCCCCTCTAATTAAAAACCTTGTAAACAGGCTATGCCCTGTACTAGCTTCACAGCAGCTATATAGGTCAATCCAACACTTGTAGCAAAGAGTCTTTCATATGTTGTCATAAATCAGGACTTTGTGCCTATTCCAAAAGCAAACAATGATATTACAGAAGAAGGAGGTCCAAGACTCACAAATCCCTCCACGGTTTTACCTGTTAGGATGACAATTATCACCACGGCGAAAATGTCTGGGTATTTTGCTAGCACTCCAGGAGCATCCATCGTCATGTATTTTTTACAAAATGCTTCAATGTGCTTGCCTATGATCTCATCAAACGTTGCGCTCCAGGCTCTGGCCACGCTCGAGGTTCCTGCCAGAGGACAGAAAGGATGCAGATCACCGTTCATGGCTGGCACTTGTTCTGAACAGGGGCACCATGCAAGGCTTCTGGCCATGGAGGGCCTCAAAGCAACCTTGAACGTGGTCCCTGGGTGCTGGGAACAGCCTCTCCTCTGCAGATCCAGCCCGCAGCCTGCATTCTTGCCTGGCATCTGCTTTGATGGCAACACACAGAGGTGGTGGGTCTCGGACTTCTACTCAGCTGACAAGATAAAAAAAGTCCTTATAGTGGTTTAGCTTCTTAGCAAATCCTGCCTTTGCTTAAGATACAGCCTAGACCTACCTTTTCCTTATGCCCCTAGTAGCCTGAACTTCCCTTAAACCTGGCAATTTCTGCCACCGGAGATGTCCAAGTCTCTTCTCACACCATCAGCAATCTCTGGCAGCCTCGGCCAAGTGGCTGCAGCCCAGGCAGAGGGACTTTACAGAATCCGACTGGGCTCTGGCAGCGCGATGCCAGAGCACCAGAGCTTGGACCAGAACCCTTACCCAGCGCTGTAAGCTCCATGCTCCACCAACACGCAGGTGCACTCCGACCTCCAGAGCGAGAGCATTCAAGCAGGATAAAGCTCAGACATAATTTACAGGTTAGCTCAGCATGAGCCAGTCTATTGCAGGAGGCTGGTGAGGATCTCAGCAAGCAGCACAACTTCTACCTGCTCAGACTTCCCCCTCCACAGCCGCTGTTTGCTGCGGTTCCCAACAGCACCAAACCACATCAGCTTGCCCGAGCGAGGACTGAATCTGGCGTCTCAGGACTACCAGGTCCAGGACATGATCTGGGCGAGAAGAGTCATTTCAGAGAAAACTGAAATAATAACCATGAAATGTTACCACTAGACAGCGACAGCATTGTGTCAAACAAGGAGGTTTGGGTAACAGCCAGCTTCTCCCTCTCCTGCATTAAAGTGGCTATCGTTATACTCCTGAGGTCTTATGCAGAACACTATATATAACAGCACGTAATTGCTTGATACAATTACTACAGTACATAATTACCTATTTAGAAAAAAAAGAAGAAAGGTTGTTGGGTTTTGACTTGCAGAGCACCTCCTCAGAGGACGCCTCAGGGGCCCTCTTCTACCAAGAACAGTTTGTCCTGACACACTCACCTGCGGGCGAGCATTCAGGTCCCAGCTCCAGCACCTATAATTGTGTTAAATAATGTCTGTGCTCAAACAATGTCCCTGCTCAAACAAGTCCGTGCTCACCCAGAGCTAAACCCTCTGCAGCAGCAGTGGGCAGAGCACCTCCTCAGAGGACGCCTCAGGGGCCCTCTTCTACCAAGAACAGTTTGTCCTGACACACTCACCTGCGGGCGAGCATTCAGGTCCCAGCTCCAGCACCTATAATTGTGTTAAATAATGTCTGTGCTCAAACAATGTCCCTGCTCAAACAAGTCCGTGCTCACCCAGAGCTAAACCCTCTGCAGCAGCAGTGGGCAGCACCTGCACCAAAGCCGGGACCACACGCTGCTCCGATCCGGCTTTGCATCAGTTATAAAAATGAGCTGCCAACAGAGCTGGTTTGGAGACTCTGCTGTTCACACAGTGCAAATGCTTTTAAAGAGGTGGGACACCAGTGCCATCAATTTAATACTGAAAAACTCCAGAAGTTATTGTATACCACGCTACAATTTTTCAGCCTAACTTGGGCACAATTTGAGGGAAGACACTATTTCTTTAATGTTGGGTGGTTTGTTTTGTCCTGGTTCTAATATTTTATGTTCTAGGACTGTAACTCTCAGCTCCTGCACTTGTTAATATCAGATGCCAGTTCGATGTAGCTATTAGTCATTTATTCCAATCTCTCTATAACCAACTGCCTTGAGGGAGCATGGGGAATCTGACATTCTTCCAAAATTGCAGATACCTGGTTAATATCTTATTGCCGTTAGCATGGTGCAAAGACATTCAGCTTGTACCTAGGAAGATTTACCAGTTCTGGGTCAGCATAACCTCAGCAGATCAAGCTGGCTCCTGCCAGGAGGGTGGCTGAGCTCAGGCACAGGGCTCGCTGCGGGAACAGGCACAGGTCAGGAGGTTACCACGCGCCCCAGGAAACGCCTTCAGCTGCTACTCACCAGGGATGCCATTACTCATCCTTTTTCCAGCTCCCACCAGCTTCCAGTTCCTGAAATGCTTATCACAATCTGGCACGTTTCCCTAAATCCACATCATGCCAGAAGTTCACCCTGGATTCTGGTCCTGGGCACCTTCTTCCTTCTTGTCTAGATCATGACTGACCTGTTGCACGTTCAGTTTTGCTCATCACCCGCCTCCAAGACCCCACGCCAGTCTTCCCTCAAGCCAAGTCACTTCAAGCTATTGGCCATGCATCCTGGGAGCCCAGCATTTCTTTATCCACCCTCACAATACTTTCTGAACAGATGTCTGAGAATCTCAGCATGAAAACACTGAGCTGGCTGAGCCCCTTACAGATGCAAGCTCCCATCATCCCATCTGGTTTTGGTGGCACTGCCTGGCCATCAGAAAATTCTGCAGCACAACTGAGAAAAAAATTGGCTTTCTGCCCCTCTCAACCCCCGACTCCAAATTGCAGTGTATGCCTGCCAGCCTATCTTTCTCCTCCACAGCCCCAAAGCCACTCGGAGTTGTCCTTGCTCACAAGATGGGCAGTTAGCCCAGGGAGAAAGGCTGGATAAGATAAAGAGAAGAGACCTGCAATAACTCATCTCTTCCTCTACTGGTTAGCCACCCCTTCCTCCCAAATGGTGAAGAAGCCAGTTGCAAACATGCATTTTTGTCACAGGACTGAATTAAAAGTAACAAAGTTGTGTTTGAACACATCCATGGATAATATCTACTTATTTTTTACAGAGTTTTCTTCCTTGTCATAATACACAGAGCAGTCAATTCTGAAATAAAAACTGAGGCAGTGGTTCAAGAGTCATTGAAAGAGGACCAAAAAACATAATCTCAGAAATGCCAGTCTTGCCCCAGATCCTGGGAGTGTAATGATTAGAATGTAACGTACATTCATTTCATCAAACATTTGCAGAATCAGGTTTTGGGACAACGTCCATGGCTACCCCAGTCATTTTGCTGGTACAGAGTACAGAGGAGGGCAACAAAGCCGGTGAAGGGCCTAGAAAATAAATCTTTTGAAGAACGACTGAAGGAGCTGGGGCTGTTTAGTTTGAGGAAGAGGAGGCTGAGGGGAGACCTCATAGCTCTCTACAACTACCTGAAAGGACATTGTAGAGAGGTTGGTGCTGGTCTCTTCTCACAGGTAATTGGTAATAGAACCAGAGGGAATGGCCACAAGCTGCAACAGGGTAGATTTAGGCTGGATGTTAGGAAAAAAATTTTCACAGGAAGAGTAGTCAGACATTGGAATAGGCTGCCCAGGGAGGTGATTGAGTCACCTTCCTTGGATGTGTTTAAAGGTCATTTAGGTGTAGTGTAGGGGATATGGTTTAGGTGTGGACTCTGTAAAGTTATAGGTTGGACTTGATGATCTCAAGGGTTTTTTCCAACCAGAATGTTTCTATGATTCTACGATTCCAGTATCATGGTGGGTGGGGCCATGTAACTAACGAGACGAGGAGCATGCAGGAGACTATTTATTGTTACCTTTCTGGAACACAAGATACATCACCAAGAAGTCTGTTCAATCTGTCTGCATGTAGCCTAAGCAGAATCTGTTTTAGAAATCTGAAGGAAATTACATGCTTACTATTACTATTTTTATCCCCTCCTTGCAGTGATCCTGACTCATGAAGAACTACAGGGCTCAGATTTTCTAAGAATATGAGTTTAATTGACTTCAGCTGTTCATCCTCTCATTTCATATTTCAAAATAAAAAAATAAAAAAGATAAGTAGGAAAAAGGTTTCAGGTAGCACCCAGAGCAGAGCCAGCATGATCTCAGAGCAGCAGCTGCTGCATCACTACCATTCTTGATATGATCTTACCCTCCCCAGTACCATGGGAACCAATCTCCAAGGTAACATAGATCCTATAGAATGCATTTTAAAAAAAATTCTGCCTTTAATAATTTAACATAGCAATGGTTTTGATTTTAACTAGTAAATCTTCACTCCCAACTGGCAAGTTGGTTACAGCCTTAATTATGGGCATGTTGACAAGCAGTGTGGCCCAGAATGTGCTTGAAAAGACACAAATCCTTAATTAGCAAAGTGTCGCTTAGCTTTAATTTATCAGCTGAGTCGTACACTGCATGCTCTGGCCTCCATCCAAGGCCTCTCCTAGAGGGAATCAAGGGTTTAGAAGGGACTTGGTTTGGACGTTTCAGAGACTGTGGACATGCAGATCATCCTAAACTTAATCCTGCAGCCATTCACGAGAAAAAAAACTCTGGTCTCCAGATACTTTAAACAGGTCTCAAAGAGACCAGGAATTAATCCTTAATCAGCTGAGAGTACAGATGCTGCCATGTAAAAGTACCCTTCTGTGAGTGCCTTCTTTCTCAGCACAGGGGACACACTTTTGCTTCCCAGCAACAGTGCAAGAGCTGGGGGATGCAAGAAGGATGATGTGGAAATTTAGAGGAAAGTTGCAGCACCAACAGTCCATCTTCAGGACAAACCCTCAGCCCACAACACACCACTCACCTCACCCACCCAGCGCAGTTACCAGTAATGCACCCGCAGGCGAGTCCTGAAAACTGCGGCGAGCGCAAGAGCGCATCGTGTATTTTTTAACAGTAATGCAGGTGCCCAAACAAGGCTGATCCTACAAACTAGGCTGGACTAAAGCGAGGGTCTCACAGCGGACTCATCCTACTTACCAATAACATAGGAGAGGATTAAATTCCACCCTGTGATGAAAGCCCACAGCTCGCCTACAGTCACGTAGCTGTAGAGATAAGCTGATCCCGTCTTAGGAACTCGAGCACCGAATTCTCCGTAGCAGAGTCCGGCCAGCACTGAAGCCAAGGCAGCAATCAAGAAGGAGATAACGATGGCGGGTCCAGCGTTTTCCCGTGCCACGGCTCCAGCCAGTACATAGACACCTGCACCCAAGGTGCTGCCGACACCCAGAGCCACTAAGTCAAAGGTGTTGAGGCATCGCGAGAGCCGGCCGTCTTCTCGAGTGCAGTCCACATTTTTCCGGCGAAGAAGCTGGGTCCCAAAATTGATGATTTTCTGACACTCCATCTTTGTGTCTGGCCTGCAAGAAAGATGCTGCCATCATTACCTGGACCAGGATACCCCCTGAAACAACACCACTGTGTGGGCACACTGGTACGGCCCCATTACATTCCAACAAACTGATCTTCCCACCTTCCACGTTTTTGCACAGCAAAATGTCTCTTTTGGCATTTTATGCAGGCTTAGCACCGGGAATTAAAACAGACAAAACCAAAGCATTTTCTGCTTCATGCTCTCAGTCATGCTGCAAAGCCTGCATGAACCCAGGAGAGATGCAGTTCTCAATCCCAGCTTCCACCCCTGCTCCACAACTCCCCTGTCCACAGAGAAGTGAGGAAGAAAAAAACCGCAAAGCTTGTCTTTCAGATTTCAGAACCAGTTCCTTAGGCTAGGAATGACTTAGGCTAGGTCTGGATGACCAAGTAGTGAGGTGGGTCG